TAGCGGAGGGAGTCAAGCCAGCGAGCGGTGGGTGGATCATGAAATGGTGCGATTGAAGAGAGACGCTTGCAAGGTCCGTGTGCTCTGTTCCCCGAACCAGGCCATGTTGTGGCACATTCAACACACCAAATCGCGGCCGAATGGGTGGCTGAGAAGCGAGTCCCGTGGGCGCATGCTTGCCCATGCACAGGAAAGTGGCATGACGACCCCGTTGTCAAGGCGACTCTAGCAAGAATGGGGTAACAACAGGCAAGAAGAGACAAGTCAGGCTCACTTACTGCGTCAATCACGCTTGCATGTTTGTCTACGGCGAGCAGCAGGTCATGTCCCCAGCCCTCGACGGTGGCCTCATCAAGCACCGTTTGTGTCTCGGCTCGGCCGCCACATGCGTCCGTGGACGTCGATGCTGCGGCACTGTTCCTTTCGGTATCGGTTCGAGGCGGCCAATCAGTGCCACTTGGTCGCCCTGGCAACGGCTGACACGAAAGGGCCAAATGAAGACGGGCCAGCAAGTTGCAGATCTCTTGCAGGGCAGAGACGAGGTGGTTGAGGCGACAGAATCGAGCCACTGTCGCCAACTGAGGAGGGGCCGTGTGCAGGTCGATCTGGTGGGTAAAAATGCATGCATGCGATTATGGAGCTGGCGACTGGCAGATCTTCAACGAATGCTCTTCACGGCGTCATGCAAGCCGCCGGATGGGAGCCCCGATTGTGCCTCGTTCAAGCAGGATTCGAGCAAGCCATGCGTCAAGTCGTCGAACTGGGCGTCGACGCGTTTGTGCACTTTGTCAATTTTGTGTCAGTTTGCGTTTTATTGAAAAGCATTTTTTCATTGGAACGGCAAGTTGGTTCTGCTTGCCCGAGCCAAGTCTTGCAAGTACCGGTTGGGCTTGCAGACGAGTTCAAAGTTCAAAGTGTTTTATGCGCCTAAGCGAAGCTGACGCCCCGCCAGTTATTGCGTCAAAGAAATCCCACCTCAGCGAAACCACCAGATGCGACTGTGTTTAATGGATGCTTTTGACAAGGGCAAATGAGCAAAGAGCGCTTTTGCGGCATTTTTACAACCCAAAACGACCCAGTTTGGCACCAATCATGCTTTAGGTGGTCGAAGCGGTACCATCCGTTGCAAGGTACAGCAAGACCCGCAACGACTGCCGGCAACATGCTGGAGTGAAGCGAAAGCTCGCGTTTTCGTGTGGATTTCGACCCGAAAATGATCTCTCCTCCAGCCAGCACCTCTCACCGGCGCCCTCGGTGGGAGTAGAATGCAAGACATGTAGGTTCCATTTGGTACCGGACGCCATATTCAGTGAATTAGGTGAAAAGCGGACTCACATCCAATGGGAATACGTCTGTAGGTAAAGTCAGTTCCCAAGGCCGTGGCGAGAGGATTTGATGCTTTCAAGGAACGGACAAATCAAGTCAAAAGCAATTAGTCTTTCTACTTTGAATGGTTTTAACGCAAACCGGATCTCATCCTCAGCATCACAACCCTCTTCATTTCCTTCGTAGACATCACCACTTGCCCATTACATTTTGATCATTTCTTGCGCCTGAGGTTATGTGTAGAAGGCAATTCGCCTCGACACACTCACAAAATCGCATGCAAAAAGCTAATGCTAGTGACTGTCATGCAAGCATAATGTGAAGAAAGAGTTGCCAATTTTGGCGCCGTTTTTCATACAGCGGCATGACAACATATTCACTGGAGAATATTAGTTGAGTCTACCAGATTTGCACAAGCTCAAGTTTTGCCAAGCAGATCACATGTTGACTTATTTGTGAATTTAAAGAAAGTAGCCAAAATCTGTATACATTACTTTGGCATTTTATAGTCAAATAATAAGATTTTCATATTTTACAACCGGCTTCTGTGTGCATCTTCACGAATTCCACTTTTTTATCTAACTTCTTATTTCCTCTCCGCTACTGAAGAGGATAGTTCTTGCTTACTCTGTACGACGGCCTCAGTGCTCTTTCATCCGATGTCTTGCACGCCAGGCAAGTCTGCACAAAATATTTCGTTTTTGTTGCCGTTTACAATGTTGCTCAAACTGCA